GGCGTTGCAAGCTTCCACAGGGCTATCGCCACTCGCTTCTCAACTGTGAGGGCTGCTCTCATCTTGGTATTCATGCGCCTCAGGGCAGGGGAAAGCAAGTCACAAAGTTCCATGAAAGTGCCCTTACGCATGCGAAAGTTTTGCAGCCACTGGGAATCGTCCCAGACCTGCAACACTATGCGGTCCCACCAGTCTGTGCTTGTTTCCCGAGCCCAGAATCGGCGTTCCACAGCATGAACCTGCCCCATTAGCACCATGATGCATGCATTGGCAGGGCCCATGCTTTCAGAGAAATCTGTGTCCATGTCCTGATCACTCACGTGATCGCGCTGATGTCGCCTCCTCGCCCGGTATCGCTTTGCCAGGTTCTGGTGCTGCATATACTGCTGGATAATGCGTGTGGTGGTTAATGTGCTCCTAATTGCCAAAGTGAGCTGAGCGGCCTCCATGCTTGCCTTGGTATGGCGTCCGCACAGAAAAAAGGCGCGGAACGATTGTCTGCCGTTGCTCTGACGGAGGGAGGGGCGACTGACGACACGGCTTACAGGGTTGGCTTCAGGGAGCTAAAATCAACAAAGGGGGTGCCTGTACATCAAGGAGTATTTCAGGCAGGACTTCACGGAGGGTTCCAATAAGAAATGGTGCACCTAAGTTATTGTTCTTATTGGAACAAGGAGGTTAGCCTGGCCTCTGATTGATACATGGCTAGATTTACCTCGCTGCACCTTCTCTGTGAGTGACTGCAGTGTGACCTAGAGGAATGAGTCCCCTAGACAGGGGAGGAGGCAAATGAGTACAAAACAAATCTGGTCTATTTCTTGTTTTGACCCACTCCATCTATCTTTTACATCTTTGGCTGGCAGCAGACGGTGCAGAAGGACTGCATGCCATCCACATCTCATGGCTGCTCGGCAGAAGATGGTACAGTACGACTGCTAGCCATCCCCATCTCTTGCCTGCCTGGCAGAAGATGGTACAATACAACTGCTAGCAATCCTCATCTCTTGCCTGCCTGGCAGAAGATGGTACAGTACGACTGCTAGTAGTCCGTATCGCCTGCCCGCTCACCATAAGACGGTTCAATAGGACTGACTGCAGGACTAAAGAGAATGACCTGGTCAAGTCTCCAAATTTAGTCCCTGCGCCCATGTCTGCCCAGGCGTTCCCAGCCGACGTGGCCAGGAGCACCTTGGACACGACGAGGACGACTACCAATCGTATTGCACCGTCTGCTGCCAGAAGGCAATGGGTTGCTGCTACTGTGCAGCAAAGCCGTACCACGTCTGCCAGCACCCAGGAGACATAGGGTGACGGTTACCTGAGCGGGCTCCATGCTTGCCGTGGTATGGCGTCTGCACAGATAACTCAGGAAAAAAGGTGCAAAATGATTGTCTGCCCTTGCTTTCACGGAGGGAGGGAGGGAACGGGGGCCTGACGATACGTACCCAGAACCACCCGCGACAATGTTTTAGCCCCATCAGAGTGCTCCATTGTGACTGCTCTGGACAGCACTCTCAGATGCCCGATTGTTTGCCGTTGCTCTGACGCCGGGAGGGGCGCTTACAGGGTTGGCTTCAGGGAGCTAAAATCAACAAAGGGGGTGCCTGTACATCAAGGAGTATTTCAGGCAGGACTTCACGGAGGGTTCCAATAAGAAATGGTGCACCTAAGTTATTGTCCTTATTGGAACAAGAAGGCTAGCCTGGCCTCTGATTGATACATGGCTAGATTTACCTCGCTGCACCTTCTCTGTGAGTGACTGCAGTGTGATCTAGAAGAATGAGTCCCCTAGACAGGGGAGGGGGGGAAGCAAATGAGTACAAAACAAATCTGGTCTATTTCTTGTTTTGATCCACTCCATCTATCTTTTACATCTTTGGCTGGCAGCAGACGGTGCAGAAGGACTGCATGCCATCCACATCTCATGGCTGCTCGGCAGAAGATGGTACAGTACGACTGCTAGCAGTCCGTATCGCCTGCCCGCTCACCATAAGACGGTTCAATAGGACTGACTGCAGGCAGGACTAAAGAGAATGACCTGGTCAAGTCACTCCAAATTTAGTCCCTGCACCCATGTCTGCCCAGGCGCTCCCAGCCGACGTGGCCAGGAGCACCTCGGACATGACGATGACGGCTACCAGTCGTACTGTACCGTCTGCTGCCACAAGGCAAGGGGTTGCTGCTACTGTGTAGCAATGCCGTACCGCGTCTGCCAGCACCCAGGAGACATAGGGTGACGGTTACCTGAGCAGGCTCCATGCTTGCAGTGGTATGGCGTCTGCACAGGTAACTCAGGAAAAAAGGCGCGAAATGATTGTCTGCCCTTGCTTTAACGGAGGGAGGGAGGGAACGGGGGCCTGACGATATGTACCCAGAACCACCCGCGACAATGTTTTAGCCCCATCAGGCATTGGGATCTCAACCCAGAATTCCAATGGGCAGCGGAGACTGCGGGAACTGTGGGATAGCTACCCACAGTGCAACGCTCCGGAAGTCGACTCTAGCCTCGGTACTGTGGAAGCGCTCCGCCGAGTTAATGCACTTAATGCACTTAGAGCATTTTCTGTGGGGACACACACACTCGAATATATAAAACCGATTTCTAAAAAACCGACTTCTATAAATTCGACCTTATTCCGTAGTGTAGACATACCCTCAGACATAAGCGGCTCTGTCCCACTCCCCACCAGGCTGCCAGGGAGAGCAGCTGAATGTGTAGGGGTGGAGACCCAGGGAGAGAAGGACAGAGCCCCTCTCCCTACCAGGCAGGCCAATCTGGGGAGGGACACTTGACCCTGCATACCCTCGCTATGCGTTGCCTTTGAACTGACCCTCTTAGTTCTACCCCCTCAGGCTGGGAATCAGCTGATTAATTATGGCACAAGTAGGGCTGGCCCTAGGGTTGCCAATTGTCTAATCACACAAACCCAAACACCCTTGCCCCGCCCTCTGCCCCACCCCTGCCCTGCCCCTTCTCTGAGGCCTGCTCTGCTCACTGCATCCCCCCTCCCTCCATCACTTGCTCTCCCCCATCCTCACTCACTTTCACCAGGCTGGGACAGGGGATTGGGGTGCAGGAGGGGGTGTAGGGTGCAAGCTCTGGGAGGGAGTTTGGGTGATGGAGAGGGCTCAGGGCTAGGGCAGGGGGTTGCGGTGCGGGAGTGGGTATGGGGAGCGGGCTCCAGGAGGGGGCTCAGGGCTGGGGCAGGAGATTGGGGTACGGGAGGGGGTGAGTGGTGCAGGCTCTGGGAGAGAGTTTGGGTGCAGGAGGGGGCTCTGGGCTGGCGCAAGGGGCTCTGGTGCAGGAGGGGGTGCAGGCTCTGGGAGGGAGTTTGGGTGCAGGAGGGGGCTCAGAGATGGGGCAGGGGATTGAGGTTCAGGAGGGGGTTTGGGGTGCTAGCTCCAGGAGGGGGCTCAGGGCTGGGGCAGGGGGTTGCAGTGCAGGAGTGGGTGTGGGGTGTGGGCTCAGGGCTGGGACAGGGGATTGGGGTATGGGAGGGAGTGTGGGATGCAGGCTCTGAGAGGGAGTTTGGGTGCAGGAGGGGGCTCCGGGCTGGGGCAGGGGGCTGGTACAGGAGGGGGTGCAGGCTCTGGCAGGGAGTTTGGGTGAAGGATGGGGCTCAGGGCTGGGGCAGGGTGTTGGGGTGCAGTGTGCAGGAGGAGTTTCGGGGTGCTGGCTCCAGGAGGGGGCTCAGGGCTGGGGAAAGGATTTGGAGTGTAGGAGGGAGAGAGGCATGTGGGCTCTGGCCAGGCGGCGCTTACCTCGGGTGGCTCCCTGTCAGCGGCGCAGCGGGGCTAAGGCAGGCTCCCTGCCAGCCCTAGCTCCGTGCTGCTCCCAGAAGCAGCCAGCACATCCCTGCAGCCCCTGGGGGGAAGGGGACTCCACATGCTGCCCCTGCCTTCAGGCACCGTCCCCACAGCTCCTATTGGCCGCAGTTCCTGGCCAATAGGAGCTGTGGAGTCAGCACTCGGGGTGGGGGCAGCACGCGCAGATCCCCTGTCCTCCCCAGAGGCCTCAGGGACATGCCGGCTGCTTCCAGGAGCGGCATGGAGCTAGGGCAGGCAGGGAGCCTGCTTTAGCCCCGCTGTGCCACCAGACTTTTTTCAGCGTAAAATCTCCCAGTTTGGCTTCAGTAGCCTCTGGGAGATAGAGCCTGATTCCAGGAGACTCCCGGTGAAACCGGGAGGGTTGGCAACCATAGCTGGCTCCCATATCTCCTTAAAAGGGCCAGTCAACCTGTTACAAGCTAGAACACTAATTTTGAACACTCTTCTACTAGCTTGATCCAATCTTCAATAGCCAGTCACCATTTTACAACTCTGTTTTGCTCTAACCACCTTTAAACTGTCCTCAGTTTGAAAACCCATGTCAATATAACCCAAATTTATCTTGGCTTGCCCAACAACCAACTCAGAACACAGGGCTAAGTTAGTTCATGGGTACATACATATGTGTTGCCTCTCAGTTTGTTCAAACTGAATATGATAAAGGATGGTTTGGAAGATAGTCTATAACTCTGTTCAGGCAGAGAGCTGAATGGATGGACCCTTATACCTGCATGGAGCCCCAATGTCTTCAACAGAGCTCCATGCAAGTCCAGGATCTGCCCTCAGGATGCTCCTGGCAGGATCAGGATCTAGGTATCAGTCTGAGTTACCACTGTACTAGCCTTGAACTCTAGCGGTTTAAACCATAATATTGGCTGAATTCAAAAGTAAAAGTAAGTTTGGTGCCATTCTTGTCACTGTTTGTCAACTTCAATTTTGCCCATGTAAACAGGCAAATCTGCTTCATTGAGTATCTCATGAAACTCATTCCTGTCTTGGAACATTACATTGCCTGCATTACAATAAACGTACAAGGAATGCTTGCACAATGCATAGTTCACTTTTGCTATTATATGGAAAACTCTTCGCCTTACATTCTGATGAGCACTAAATTTGCATAGTTTCCAGGATGTATATCACAACTTTGCACTTGCTTACTTTATTTTCATCCATGTACACATTCTGAATTTCATACATTTTCTTGTTGTAAAGTGGGGTGGATATTGATACATAACAGTAACTTAAATGATTTTGTAATAAACTGTGTGTAATAATAATTTGTGCATATTAGGGTGCATGCCCTCAACCTTAAGATGAATTTATGGTTTTAAATCAAAAAGTAATCACATATTAGAGTTACATATACATTAATATTAAAACAATTTAGTGACTTGTACTGTTATTAGTGTTAAATCATAGCAAATATGTTGCCTAATTCTGTCATATAGCAATGCATTTTACAAACATTGGCCCAGATTGTGGCTTTAAAACATGGCCTGTGTTAGGCAGATAAGAGAAAAAGCCACGCAGCAATCATAGTTTTATGGAGAATCTCTACTACCCCATGAAAGGATATAGTATGTGCCCCCTCCACCTACTACACAATGGTTCAGCTCCACTGGCTGTTTTGGTGAAGGGTGTCTAGTGTCAAGCATGAAGTTAGATTAGTACCATGCTTGTAAGCTTCACAGTGATTTGTTACTGGTGGATGGGAAGAGAACTCTTTGTAACTTCACCCTTGAACATCTACGGAGGGACAGAATCTCATTATCACTTGAAGAGAGACACACCCAAAAATTGCTGTTCACCAAGTCTGTACAGCTTTTTCACTAACAAACTGCCCGTGAGGCCCATCAGCCTCAGGGGCTAAAAGCACTAAGTAAACTAGAGTCTCGGCTCCCTCATCTGGACTTTTAGGGGCATTGGGACCTGCCAGGTCGGTTCTCATCCATCCAGGGCAACAGGCATTCAGAAGAATTTGATCAGCTTTCCTTTCCTCGTTCAACATCCGAGCTTGAATTCTGGACAAGACTGTGACTCCAATTTTAGACACACCATAAGCAGTATTTGGCCAGCCCTCCTTCTCATGCACTCCGTTCTTGGTATCTTCCACAAACTTCGTCATGAGCTTCACTAGCTCCTCCTCAGTGATTGTGTCACTGTGAAATTTCTGCTGCAGGTCTTGGCTACATCTCTTGAGTGTCCGAACACTTATGAAACTGGATACATTCACCACTCTGCCTATAAGCAGGAAAATACCACAGTGCAATCATCATCAAAAATACTGTGAAGTATTAAAGTAAAGTAAAGTAAAGAGTAGATGCAGTACCTGGGGATTAGCCAGGGTCTATCTGTCTAACCACGAGGAGACGACGAAGGGGACGTGCCCCAACATTTTAGGCATTACCTTTTGTCCTTTTGTTACTTTAAATGAGAAATGGATGCTGGTGCAACTTTCACCAGGTTCCATTTCTTATTTAAAGTACCAGTGTGCCAGATTGAGTGAGACAAGCGCTCCAGAACTTTTTTGGGCTGGGAGGGCCTCTCCACATGATGAGGAATGCTGACCGTGGTTGTTATGCAGCAAGCCAGCTACAGGGCCAGAAGAGGCAAGCACCATCCCTCCACCAGTGCCTGTACCCTGGGGGATGCCCATTTAAGAAAGTGCTGGGGGCAGCCTCCATCTTGGTAGCATAGCTGGAACTATACTGCAAAGGAGGATGGGGCTGGAAATCTCCAGAGCCATCGCAGACTCAGCACAAGGTCTCTGTGGTGCTGTCTTTGCTCTTCGGTGGATCACCCAGGGTGCTCACACAGCTTGACAGATTCACTGGGTTCTGGGATGTTATGTGACCCTGCCTCAGCCAGTTACTGACCAGAATCTTTAAAAAAGCTATTTTCCATCTAAGAGAGCAGTTCAGACTATTTTGGGCCACACGATCCTTTCTCAACCAACTGTATTTCTCAGCCCGAGAGCGTGTAATAAATATAGTGGGCCAGATCTCAGCCAGAATGAATCAGTTAATGGAGTGAGGTCACTTTCTAACTGCTGAGGCTCTGGTCCAGTTTTTATTATATTGTTGTAGATGTGCAGCTTCCACATTAGTCACATCCAACAACTTTTATAGCCAAACAGCCCAGGTCAAATGTCCACTTGTAAGTGTTTTTACACTCAAAATATCTCAAAAGTTTTTTTCTTCCCAAATTTGTATGTGGTTCCTTCTTTGTTTCTAAGGGCCTGTCTGCACTTAAAATGCTACAGCGGCAAATCTGCATGGCTGCAGCTGCACCATGGGAGCACTTCAGTGTAGACGCTACCTACGCTGATGAGAGGGGTTCTCCTTTCGGTGCAGTTAATCCACCTTCCTGAGAGGTGGTAGCTAGGTCAACGGAAGGATTCTTCCATTGACGTAGTGCTGTCTATACCAGGAGTTAAATCTGTTTAGCTACATCTCTCAGGGGTAGGTTTGCCAACTTTCTACACGGAAAAAACTGAACACCCTTGCCTCGCCCCCCCCTCCAAGGCCCCGCGCCCCGCCCCCCGCTCACTCTGTCCCCCCTCCCCATCGCTCGCTCTCCCCACCCTCACTCCCTCGCTCATTTTCACTGGGTTGGGGCAGGGGGTTGGGGTGTGTGGGGGGGTGAGGGCTCCGACTGTGGGTGCAGGCTCTGGTGTGGGGCCGGGGATGAGGGATTTGGGGTGCAGGAGGGAGCTCCAGGCTGAAGGGTTTGGAATGCAGGAGGGGGCTCTGGGCTGGGGCAGGGGGTTGGGGATTGTGGGGAGTAAGGTCTCTGGCTGGGGATGCGGGCTCTGGGGATGATGGGGCTGCAGGAGGGGGCTCCGGGCTGGGGCTGAGGGGTTCAACGTGTGGGAGGAGGCTATGGGCTGGGGAAGGGGGTTGGGGTGCAGGGGGTGTGAGTGCTCCAGATGGGGATGCGGGCTGTGGGTGGAGCTGGGGATGAGAGATTTGGGGTTGCAGGAGGGGGCTCCAGGCTGGGACTGATGGGTTCAGAGGGTGGGAGGGGGATCAGGGCTGGGGCAGGGGGCTAGGGCACGGGAGTGGGTCAGGGGTGCAGGTGGTGCTTACCTCAAGCAGCTCCCAGAAGCTCTGTGCTCCAGCTCCAAGGGGAGGTTCGGCCAGCAGCTCTGTGCACTGCCCTGTCTGCAGGCGCCGCCCCCACAGCTCCCATTAGCCGCAGTTCCCAGCCAATGGGAGCTGCAGAGCTGGCGCTTGCAGCATGCGTAGCCCCTTGCCTGCCGCTATGTGTAGGAGCTGGAGGAGGGACATGCCACTGCTTCTGGGAGCTGTGTGGAGCCAAGGCAGGCAGGGAGCCTGCCTTAGCCCCGCTGTGCCGCTGACTGCACTTTTACCGGCCCAGTCAGTAGTGCTGACTGGAGCTGCCAGCGTCCCTTTTTGACTGGGCTTTCCAGTCGAAAACCAGACACCTGGCAACCCTACTCAGAGTTGTGGATTTTTCATGACCCGAGAGACGTAGCTATACTGCTGTAAAATCCTAGTGTAGACCAGGCCGAAGGCTGTGTCTAGACTAAACTTTTTCTTAAAATTACCCACCCTACTACCAATACAACTTCACCTATAGTAACAACGGTGGGAGTCTCTCACTGGGAGAGTTAATAAAGACTGACCACTGCTGTTTTCACTACTGCGCCAATGGACTTTGGTCAGAGTGTGTATATATGAATGACATGGTAGTTAAATGCTGCCAGGTGACTCTGCCCTGTTTATTCTAGTGCTCTCACATTGGGACCACTGATGGAGCTGAATCAGTTGTAGCAATGGTGGGAAATTGTAGGAAAATAAATCTAGTATACAGATTTGTAGTACTAAATAGTATGAGCAGTATAATAGTAATAGCATAATACTAAATATTGGCTACTTAAAATGTATGGCAAAATACACTGCGGTGGTCTAGTACTTCACCTCATTGAGGAAGAAGTTGTGACAATATTGTGAGTATGTTGAGCTTACCATGTGGTTTTATGAGCGGTAATAACATATTGCAGACATCTCTGGTTCCAAAAAAGTTGGTTTTCAGTGTTCCTCTGCTTGAATGTGAAAGGGTGTGGGATCATCAACTTTTTATAGAGAAAAAACAGCAACAACACAGGAGAGAGTCAAACTGCAAATCTGAACAATTACGTAATTATGTAAAAATTGACAGACAGGAACATGCGTCACACCTGAATCCCTATCTAGAAAAGGAGAATTTATTTGGGCTGGGGTGTGACTGTTCCCCTAGTGCAGTCTGACAGTTTTCTCCTTAAGAGACATGCAGGTAGTAGCCAACAGGAGCTAAGCATTCTCCCCACACTCTCTCCCACCAGGATCAGCACCTCTTCTTTTGTCTGGAAAGGCTAGTTGAGAATTTTGGACTACAACTTTGACTATGATTGGTAGGTTGCATAGAGAGAAAAAATAAATAAACTGGGCTAAAAGAACATTATTAAAGTTGCAAAATCAAGCGCTCCCAAAAGTTAAGAAATGCAAAAATTAAGGTTTCTTGTGTATATGCTGTCGTTAATTATATAATCACATACTATCTTTTCCCACACCTACGCAGGGAACGTTTTGCGGCATGAGAGGGCAGGGCATGGAGTTCTTTGGACCACTGTAGCCAGCAGCATTTAGAACAGCCTTAAACTCCTGCAAGCCCCAGGCTTGGGGTGATAGAAAGGTGGCATAGAGACACTCTTCCACATCTCAGCTGTCCCAACTGTGAGCTTGATGTAGATGAGTATTCAACCCAAATATTTCAAACAGCACTTACAGTGGAGCAAACTCAGATTCAAAAATTCAGAAGAGTCATCTGACCTATTTAGAAGAAGGAAGTGAAGGAAGTGGTCTTTGGGAGAATGGTGGAGTTTATTTGCCATTTATTTATTCTTCAGTTATAATCAAGTCACCCCCCTGGTGACTCAGCTATCAGTCAAGATAGCATGCTGACCCAGTTACAACAGTTAAAAGTTGTACAGTTAACAGGACCTAGTTGCACTGTAACCAGGCCCCTGTAAAAGGGGCCTTAATCCTGTTGGAGGATGGGAAAACTGCTTAAATTGATTGCAACCTGCGTGACAGTCAATCAAAGGAGGGATTTGGCACCAACTCAGTCACAGAACAGTAAACTTTCCAGGGCAGATTCAAATTGCTCAGACATTGGTTGCACAAGAAATTGAAGTTTGAAATGTGATACTTAGTTAATACACCTAGAAGTATTATGTGTGGTGAACAGTATAATTAAGTGTGCAATACAATTTTCATGGTATCACTCTGCTTCTATGTGCTCAGAACTTTCTGGAGAATTCCTCACATCCCAGTCCTCAAAACACCAGCTCACATGCTTAATTTGATGATTGTAATCAATAGGACTATTTATAATAATAAAGTTAAGTATATGTGTGAATGCTTTCAGAATCAGGACTATAGTTTGTAAGTTTTCATGCTTATTTTTACTCCAAAAATGGAAGAAAATTCTCCCCACCTTTTTGGAGATATATAAATGAAGAAAAATATCCCTTTGTCAAAAAAAAACACAAGTAACTCTTGCTAATTTTTGTTACCTCATGTAAGTAAAAAACAACAACCAGAAACTGAATATTTAATTTTCAAAATGTAATATTGCATTGACATAAGTTTATTACTTGCTTTTCTATATGTTAAATGTTAGTACTGAATTGCATACAATACCTACAAGGCTGTTTTTCTTATTCCCTGACATATTTTGGATCAAGAGGATCTCCAGCTATGTCTTTTAGGGACCATAGCACGGTCTGTTTGTTAGCTCTGTTTTCCAGAGCCATAACAGTGTGCTTCTGTTGGATTTGCACTATCAGCAGGGCTAGTTTCTTCTAAAATGGTCAACTGGATTGAGGCAGTGAACTTCCTCTTTGATATTATTTATTATGATGATTTAACTTTAAAATAATAATGAAGTTTAAATGGAAAATTTAAGGAAATCAAACCAAGTTACCACTCCACTCCTCTACCCAAATTCCACTAATAAAATGTGTGCATAAATTTGTGTACCATAATAGGGCCCTGATCCAGATAATGGCCTCCTGGTGTTAATACAACAATAATTATTAACAATTATAACACCAAGCACAAAGCAATGCATATTACACCACATATTTTGCTACTATCCTAACCTTATGTACACTGAAGCCCTGTCTGCACTAAAATGATAGCTGTGTCAGCGAATCGAGTCACTACACAGTGTAGACATAATCTAATTTTGTCCATGGAACCACGTTCAAACCTTGCTCAGGCCAAAGCAAGGTCTTGTCAATCAGCCAGCATTCTGTCTTTGAACCAGAATCCTGTGTTGTTAACCAGCACATTCAGCCCTCCGTATTTCTCCTTCAGGAAGTTGGTGATGTCCAGCTGGTGGAAAAGCGGGCTCAGTCCCTCCTCCTGCAGCTTTGCCACCGCAGCTTGATCCCGTCCTGGGTCCCGGGCTGTCAGGTACACATCCCCAGTGAACTGCTTACACAGAGCCCGCACAATAGCAAATCCAATCCCTTTGTTGGCCCCAGTCACCACAGCTACTGGGGTGCAGCTGGACATCCTCCTGGGCTAGTAAATTCCAAAGCAAAACTCACCGGGGACTACTTCCTGCAAAAGGCAAAAATAGGTCTGCATCAATGGACTTGGCACATTAGACCATTATTACCTCTCTGCCAGCATGCTGTATAATTCCACTCACAGGTGCCAGGATCTGAAAGTAACAGAAAACTCTGAAGGTTAGCAAACCTCAGTCACACAGCAACGCCTGCTCTGCACAGCCTGTGCTCCACCTCTGCTCCCATCCCAGCCTGAAACCAGCCCCCTCCTAGCAGCCTGCCATGCATAATACACAGTCCCAGGCACTCCTCCTGGCTTCCTTCTAGCACCCTGTGGGGGAAGGGAATAGGGAGACTCAGCATGCAGTGGGGATATCTATGCCTGTAGTAAGTAATTTAGCTGATAACATAGAGCCTATGGGTATTTGGGGAAGAGGGTTTTTCACTCCAATTTCTATCATCAAGCAAGTAGCCCATCAGGAGGTAATGTGGCACTAGTACTCTCATGGCTGCACCAGTCAGACATGCTTATTGGTGCTGGGCTACTTCACTTGTAGCTGAGGCATTGAGCAGAGCTGAGTTTAGAGCAGATCTAGTGCCCGCTGTTGCCCCTGCTCTCAGCCTAATGCCCGCTGCTCCAGTTATTGCCCTGTCCCCAGCGACTTGCCTGCAGTTACTCCTGAGGGCATTCTGCACCAAAAAATTAAAAATTCTGCACACAATATTTTAAAATTCAGCAAATTTTATTTGTCAAATAAATGTGGAGGTGCTGGCAGTGGGGAGCACAGGCCACTGGCTGCACAGAGTTGGGCAATCACTGTGCAGCTCCCCCCCTGGAGACACTCAGCGGTGAGGCTGCACCCAACCCTGACACAGCACAAGGACCGGGCATGGCCCAGAAACACCCCAGGGTCCTGCCCCTCTATGCCAGGTGTGGCAGGTATGGGCAGGCAGGCTCAGCAAGGCAGGATCCCCCTACTGTTACTCGTACCTTCTTGTCAACTGTTTGAAATGGGCCACCCTGATTGCACTACAAAAGTGATTTTTCCTCCTGTCGATAATAGCTCACTTCCACTTTAATTGAATTGTCTTGTTAGAACTGACTGCCCACTTGGTAAGGCAACTCCCATCTTTTCATGTACAGTACTGTGTATATATATTCTGCATACTGTATTTTCCACTCCATGCATCTGATGAAGTGGGTTTTAGCCCATGAAAGCTTATGCCCAAATAAATTTGTTAGTCTCTAAGGTGCCACAAGGACTCCTCCTTGTTTTTCCTGACACAGACTAACACGGCGACCACTCTGATACTCTGTGCAAGTTTTGTTGCAATTGTAAAACAGTGCTAGCAACAATGATCTACATGGTCATATTTTAATCATATAATGTCACACCCTGACATCTAGTTTTGAGCTGGGGAAGAAGACATCAGGAACTGACCTTGTGTACATTGACGCACTCACTCTGCCTAGGTGCGCAGCATGATGGAGCCGTTTGCCCACATGATCTCTTTTGGCTGCTGTTGGATCGCCTATCACTTTGTTACTGGGTGCAAGGGTCATAAAGTGTTGTTACCCTTGTTGTGTGAGTAAAGGGCAGCAGCACTGTGCTTGACATGCCCTGACTGAGGAGTTCAAAGTCAGCTGAACTGCACTTGCTAAGCAGAGGATAGGGGTGCCAAAGCCCAGTGGAGGAGAGGGAGGGAGGGGAGAGATGTTTCTGTGTGGTCCCCGCATAAGGGTCCTAGACACTATTTGAAACGCACCCCCACCCCCCCATTTAATGACAGAGCTGATTAAGGCTCAATTGAAAGTCTTTTGTTATGGATACTAAAGCTGAAATCACTGATAACCAGGTCTAAGCCTTAGACCTGGTAGGTGACAGTCTCTCTAGAAAATGAGACTGCCCAGCCCGCGGTAGCAGTGAGGCTCCCCCACACTAACTGCTGAAATCCCTGAGAGCTGAAAGAATAGAGTGGTGGGATCTCAGGACATTCCAGAGGTTGCAGGAGAGAGGGCAGTGGTGGAGCGAGTAGCCGTGGAGCATGTGGCGACTGGGCGAGTGGCCAATGGCAGCGCGAGTGCTGGCAGAGTGAGTGGCCAACGTCAGAACAAGTGGTGGAGGAGCAGCAGCAGCAGAGGCATTGCTCAGTGCCTCCCTCCTACCCTCCACAGGTGGGAGGGGAACTCACACAAATGGACCTCTGAACCTTTGCTGACTAAAGACAATTGTGAGTGGGGTGCGGTGAAGGGAGAGGGGAGTGGTGTGTTAAAGCATCCTTGTCAGACTTTCACACTGCAAGGTGAGAGACTGAGGAAAAGGACACTGCCTAGCATACTCTGGGGTGGGTGTTTTGTTCATGGTCATATGTTTTCACATCATGCTTGTGGTGTTTTCCCAAATTTCCTCCTTTGGTATCCCACTGTTAATTGAATTGTCTCACTAGACTGACCTCACACTTGTAAGGCAACTCCCATCTTTTCATGTATTTATACCAGCTCTTGTATTTTCTACTCCATGCATCTGATGAAGTAGGTTCTAGTCCACGAAAGCTTATACCTAAATAAATTTGTTAGTCTCCAAGGTGCCATAAGGACTCCTCGTTGTTTTTGCTGATACAGACTAACACTGCTACCACTCTGAAAAGTTTTGCATGGTGGCTGAAAAGGACTTCTGGTATGGATCTAGGAAATGTTATTTTAACTGGCCTATGTGTTGTTTTACACCTAAATTTCCTGTGGTGATAAATGGAGAAAAAAAATATATTTTGTACCAGTTTTTTTTACAATTCAATTAAAGTAAAAGCAAAGTTAAAATTACAGAAGGCTTCTTTACAGGCGTAGCAATCTTAAAATGTGGGATTACATCCTGGTGGATTATTCCATAGGTTGTGATCTTACACCCCCTGGTTCGTACTTTGAGCCTAGTATTTATGGTGATTCAAATAATTCCAACTATTGGGAATGTGTTGCAAGGTAATAAACTTAAGAAGGCACAGAAGGACAGGAATATGATGCAAATGAAATGAATAATTATGGAGAAAAGAAAAGAAATAAAAAGAAGAAAAACAGTGGAATATAAAATGGCTTGACATAAGTAATTGAACATAGGGGAAGCCTCATTTTTTGGAAGACAGGATTAGGGAGGTAACTGGATCAGCAGACTGAAAATTGAATGTTTTTGCTAAAATAAGCAAATGGGTCAGTAAGCTAAAAAACAGAAAGTCTGAGCTTGCTAATATAAGCAGGGGAACATCCAGGGAACCATTTACTAAGAACAAGATACCAATGGACAAGAGAAATTGGGAGTGTAAAGATGAGGCAAAAAGTAAAGTCAAACATGGATAGCATGTGGACAGAGCATGCTGTACAGAGATTGGTTCCTGCAAAGTAACCAAGCCAATCCCACATATGATGCAATGTATAGTGAATGAAATGTGAAGAGTAAATCTACATTAAGGAAGGAGGTTTGGATGTGTGGTATCCCTTGTACCCACTCCCATTCTTCATCCTGATCTACTCAAATATAGTTTGATTGTGTGCCAGTAAAGAAACCTCAGTAATGAGTTTGGAGTAAAGCGGAGTGTGACATTGCACCCCATAAAGCTTTATGGAAAAATGCTTATGAATGTATATATGTCATAAGTGAAATATGTTTTATGCTACATATATCATGTAACATATCTCTGTAAAGGTTAAGGTCTACTGAATCTATTCATCCTAGTTGTATGCATGTATCATTTTTGTATTCAAAGTTATGAATATTGGCTGTGTACTGGTTTGATTTTAAGTAGCCTTAGTAAGGCATTTGGGCAGCTTCTTTAGAAAGGAATTTGCAAGTTAAGTGCCCAATCAAGAAACACTTAATGAACAATGGATCTTGGAAGGCTCCAATCCACATAAGAAGTCAACTTGAGGATGTACAAGGTAGCATGTGAACTATGGCTGCTACCTGTAAGTTCTGAGTCATGCTGGACATGTGTCTTGCCCATGTGACTCCAAAACTCCATCTTGTAGCTGGGATTCTACAGAGGGGGAGAGAGGGGTGTCCAACCACAAGAGAAAGTCTATTTAAACGCCTGGGAGAGCCCTCCATTTTGTCTTCAGCTGGCTCAAGAGATAGCCTCTCCATCCCCAAAGGATACCTGAAGGAAACTGGAACAAAGGACAGTAACCACAGGGGGTGTGAGTGATTGCTGGACCCAGACTAGAAGGAGACTAGTCTGTAAAAGGAAACTTACTGGAACACCTCTGAGGGTGAGGTTTTATATGTATTCAGTCTTCTTATGTATTAGGCATAGGCTTGCATGTTTTATTTTATTTTGCTTGGTAATTCACTTTGTTCTGTTTGTTACTACTTGGAACCACTTAAATCCTACTTTTTGTATTTAATAAAATCACTTTTTACTTATTAATTAACCCAGAATATGTATTAATACCTGGGGGACAAACAGCTGTGCATATCTCTCTATCAGTGTTATAGAGGGCGAACAATTTATGAGTTTACCCTGCATAAGCTTTATACAGGGTAAAACAGATTTATTTGGGGTTTGGACCCCGTTGGGAATTGGGCATCTGAGTGTTAGAGACAGGAACACTTCTTAATCTTTCAGTTAAGCTTGCAGTTTGGGGGACATGGTTCAGACCGGGGTCTGTGTTTGTGGCCGGCAAGCATGTTTGGCACAACCAGGCAGGGTTCTGGAGTCCCAAGCTGGCAGGAGAAGCAGGGGCAGAAGTAGTCTTGGCACATCAGTTGGCAGCCCCCAGGGGGTTTCTGTGATCCAACCCGTCATACAGAGTTCCTGGGAACCAAGCTGATGAGGTCTCAGGAACCACCCCAACATACTCCTGAGTGGATAAGAACATAAGAATGGCCACACTGGGTCAGACCAAAGGTCCATCCAGCCCAGTATCCTGTCTACCGACAGTGGCCAATGCCAGGTGCCCCAGAGGGAGTGAACCTAACAGGTAATGATCTAGTGATCTCTCTCCTGCCATCCATCTCCACCCTCTGACAAACAAAGGCTAGGGACACCATTCCTTACCCACCCTGGCTAATAGCCATTAATGGACTTAACCTCCATGAATTTATCCAGTTCTCTTTTAAACTCTGTTATAGACCGAGCCTTCATAACCTCCTTAGGCAAGGAGTTCCACAGGTTGACTGTGCACTGAATGAAGAAGAACTTCCCTTTATTTGTTTTAAACCTGCTACCCATTAATTTCATTTGGTGGTGCCTAGTTCTTATATTATGGGAACAAGTAAATAACTTTTCCTTATTCACTTTCTCCACACCACTCATGATTTTATATTCCTCTAGCATATCTCCCCTTAGTCTCCTCTTTTCCAAGCTGAAAAGTCCTAGCTTCTTTAATCTCTCCTCGTATAGGACCCTTTCCAAACCCCTAATCATTTTAGTTGCCCTTTTATGAACCTTTTCTAATGCCAGTATATCTTTTTTGAGATGAGGGGACCACATCTGTACGCAGTATTCAAGATGTGGGCGTACCATGGATTTACATAATGGCAATAAGATATTCCCCATCTTATTCTCTATCCCTTTTTTAATGATTCCTGACATCCCGTTTGCTTTTTTGACTGCTGCTGCACATTGCATGGACGTCTTCAGAGAACTATCCACGATGACTCCAAGATCTTTCTCCTGATTAGTTGTAGCTAAATTAGCCCCCATCATATTGTATGTATAGTTGGAGTTATTTTTTCCAATGTGCATCACTTTACATTTATCCACATTAAATTTCATTTGCCATTTTGTTGCCCATTCACTTAGTTTTGTGAGATCTTTTTGAAGTTCTTCACAATCAGCTTTGGTCTTAACTATCCTGAGCAGTTTAGTATCATCTGCAAACTTTGTCACCTCACTGTTTACCCCTTTCTCCATATCATTTATGAATAAGTTGACTAGGATTGGTCCTAGGACTGATCCTTGGGGAACACCACTAGTTACCCCTCTCCATTCTGAAAATTTACCATTTATTCCTACCCTTTGTTCCCTATCTTTTAACTAGTTCTCAATCCATGAAAGGATCTTCTCTCTTATCCCATGACAACTTAATTTACGTAAGAGCCTTTGGTGAGGGACCTTGTCAAAGGCTTTCTGGAAATCTAAGTACACTATGTCCACTGGATCCCCCTTGTCCACATGCTTCTTGCCTCCCTCAAAGAACTCTAACAGATTAGTAAGACATGATCTCCCTTTACAGAAACCATGTTGACTTTTGCGCAACAATTTATCTTCTCCTACGTGTCTGACAATTTTATTCTTTACTATTGTTTCAACTAATTTGCCCTGTACTGACATTAGACTTACCGCTCTGCAATTGCCAGGATCACCTCTAGAGCCCTTCTTAAATATTGGTGTTACATTAGCTATCTTCCAGTCATT